TTGTATGTATGAACATGAAGTTCAGCTAACAAGGGAAAAGAAAGGCAACCTTAAACTCCTGCAAAGTCAGAAAGTCACCCTAGACCAGCTGATGCTAATGTGCTATAATTGGGGGCAATTATCACAGTGGGAGAACCAGAGTTTCATTTTTATTTATTTAGGACTTTTTTTGTTTTCTGAAACGGACTCTCCCTATATTGCCCAGGCTGTTCTTGAACTCCTTGGATCAAGTGATACTCCTGCCTCTGCCAGTAGCCTGGATTACAAGTGCACCCCACGATACCTGGCTTCAAATCAGAGCCTTATTTCCTTATTCATTTGTCTGTTGGCTTATTTATTTACTGTGGTACTGGAGATTGAATCCAGGATCTCACTCATGCTAGGCAATTTCTCTACCACTGAACCACATCCCCAGCCCCAGAGTCTTAAACAGACATACTTATTTTATCTGTTTCAAGCTTGAAAACAGTATTCTGTTTTCTTTTGGCAATTTTATCTCACAACTTTGATTTGTAATACTTCTGTTTGAATAACTTATTTCATTAGTCAGATTCTTTTGAACAGAAAAGACAATGATAAGCCTTCTTTCTTAAAATCTGTCAGTCTCCCCTCCGTGCACTGGAATGAGCTCAGAGCCTCAGGGATGAGACTCCACCTCTGAGCTCCCTTCCCAGCCCTGAGAACTGTGGATTTCTTTTGTTTGTTTAGATTTTCACCACACATTACCATAATAATTACAGATGGTCGTTTAGATTGTTTCTAAGTTATTTTTGGTTTGTTTGTTTCAATGAAGAATAGATGATTTGAAATCAAATCTCTTCAAATGAAATCCCCTGGTCTCAATGCCAGCGGCTCATTACATTTTGATAGCTGTCACCAATTTGTCCGTCAAAGATGTTGTTTCCACTCACACCCCTGCCAGCAGTGTCTAAAATGCCTAAAAATAGACTTTCTGAAAAACGTCCTGCCTGTGTCCCCGCCAGATGACTCCAGAGGGAAGGAGGTGAGCAGGGATGGAGGATTCTCCAGAGGTCAAACGCGGCGGCCCTGATGAGAGCGCTTGCGTTTTTTTCCTGAAAACAATTTGTCATGTCCACAGGAAACTTTGCTCACGAATCCCTCTGCGACAGTCAGGAACCAGGACGATGGTGGGATAGAGGCTGGAACAATGCAGGGAGCCCCTGGGCACAGTGAACTCTTGCCCTCTGCGGCCCAGCCCGGCTCCCCACCCTCGCTCTTTTCAACAGCAGAAGGTCCGCACGGGATGGAAGGTTGGGGACAACCCGGCCTCTGTCTGCTTCACTGGTGTGGATGACACCGCAGACCTGTGGGTCGTGATAAGAGTTGCCAGGGTCACTTTTCAGAGTCCTGAAGCCCACTTCCGTCGGAAACGGTGACTCTTCACTTGGGCCCGCAGGTGTCTGAGGGGTGACTGGACAGAGATCCAGAGGCTTGGAATGTCTGACAGTTTTTTTTTTTTTGTATCTGGGACTGAACTCAGGGGCAGTTAACCACTGAGCCTGAGCTACCTCCCCAGCCCTATTTTGTGTTTTATTTAGAGACAGGGTCTCAGGGTCTCACTGAGTTGCCCAGGGCCTTGCTAAATTGCTGAGGCTGGCTTTGAACTTTGATCCTCTGGCCTCAGCCTCCTGAGGTGCTAGGATCCCAGGAATGCACCACCGCGGCTGGCTGGGTCTTCCTCTTATGTCTGTCCCCTTGGTGGTCCCTTGTGAGTCTTGGGCAGCTGCTGTTCCCCGAGTATCCAGAGTCCTTCAGGCGTATCAGGAGGCTCAGATGGAGCCACAAGGCCAGGATGTTTGTGCAGGATGGTGCGCGGCTGCAGGGTACTCAGCAGTTCCCAGGACAAGCTGGCCGTGACCCCCTGATGGTCCCAGTCTTCCGCAACCAGAAACCTCTTTTGGAACTGTGCCTTCCTCTGGCCAGTGGAAATTACCAGACCCCCGCCTGCCCCAGCAGGTCAACAGGAGCTGGCCTCTGCTCTGTGTGGGAGAGCCTGGCCCCTCGGTCAGTGCTGCCGTCCGCCCAGTTAGCACCTCGCCCGGACCCTCCACTTGCCTGACTCGCTCCATCTCAGCCACCACCGTTGCTCCCCGCTCCCCGGGGGCCACCACCCACCACCCATCGCTTAACACACCCCTCCGTTTCCTTTTCTGCAGGAAAACAATCCATTTGTTTTCTGTCGAGTGTTGAGGTGGAGAAGGGAAAACTGGCACCAAGAAGTCACTTGTGAAAACTGACAAGTGACGTCCTCATAGAGGGACAGGAGCTTTAATAAAACCACATGAGACTTCAGGAAGGTTCTTAAGTGATGGTTTCAGTGAGGTTCAGAAAACGCCCCACCGTGATGCCGTGACACTGTGTTTGCTTTTTGGCAAATTTAGGTTCTGTGCTTTCCGAGGTGGAGACCCTGGAGGGCGGGGGCAGCCTGTGTTCTCTGGGACGCTGGCGTTCTTGGCTGAAAAATGGGGACCAATTTGTTTACATGGGACCAGGAAGGAGGAGGTGAAGACAGGTCACTGCTGTCCCAGGTGGCCCCTGCCATCTCTAGGGCTTCCTACTGCTGTCCCCCACCCCTGTCCCTGTAGCCACTGGAGGGGGGGCTCTCAGATAACCACAGACAGGGGTGTTACCCAGAAGGCTGTGGCGGGGGACAGGAACAGACACACAGAGATGAAAAGAGACTAGGGCTGGGCAAGGTGGGGCAGGTGTCATCCCTGCCACTCAGGAGACTGAGGCAGGAGGACCGCAAGTTCAAGGCCAGCCTCAGCAACTTAGTGAGACCCTGTTTCAACATAAAACAAAATCAGCCGGGGATGTAGCTCAGAGGTAGCACATCCCTGGGTTCAATCATTAGGAGAAAAAACGAAAAGAAAAAGAGAAAGAGGGGCTGGGGTTGTGGCTCAGTGGTAGAGCGCTTGCCTAGCATGTGTGAGGCACTGGGTTCAATTCTCAGCACCACATATAAATAAATAAAATAAAAATAAAGATCCATTGACAACTAAAAAGTATTTAAAAAAAAAAAAAAAGAGAGAAAGAGAAAGAAAGGAAGAAAGAAAAAGAGACCCTCCACCTGGCCTGGGAGGGGAAGGCGCTCAGGGGAAGAGGCTGGCTTAGCTTTTGTGAGGCCCTGGGTCCCATCCCCAGCGACCTCCCACCTTCTCCCACCCCAAAAGGAGATACTTCAAAATGGAGAGATGGCCTACAGAGCCAGGGGATCACTAGATGGAGTCAGGATGCAGAGGAGAGAAAGGGCGGGCCAGGGCGGCCCTGTGGCCTGGGCGCAGGTCCCACTGAGGAGCTGTTTGCTCGCTGGGAGGCCTCAGCGCTGCGGGGCTCTCTCTCCAGTCACCCCAAGACCCGGCTGCTCCCTTCCTGCCCTGGCGCCTGCCGTGGCTCCCCACTGCCTCCGTTCCCAGCACTGATTTTCAGGGTGGAACCGGCAGAATAGATGAATGACAGTGACAGTATTTTAGGCCTTGACATGGGTCAGACCTTGGACCTCAGAGCCAGACAGGGAGGAGGTCTTGCATCCCTGGGGCCCCAGCGGGAGAGAGGCCAGCCTTCAGGTCTCCGGTCTTGGCTGACTCCGGAGGGGAGAGCGGCTTCCTGTTCCCTTTCGGGATTTATGCCAGAGTTGGGGGCGGGGGCGGGGGTCTCAGACCATCCTGGACACTTCCCAACGCCAGGTGCTCCCTGGGCAGCAATCGGGCCTGCGGGCTGGGGCGACCCCTGGTGGCCAGCAGGGGGCTAGACACCCCGGCGCCCTCGACCCTCCCCAAAGCCTCATTTCCTCTTCTCCCCTCTCCCCTCCCCCTCACCGTCCTCCTTTTTCTTTCTTTCATATTTTGGTACCAGGGAGTGAATCCGGGGGTGCTTTACCACCGAGCCACACCCCCAGCCCTTTTCGTTTTTGTTTTGATACAGGGTCTCGTTCCATTGCCCAGACTGGCTTCTCCCTCTCATTCTTCTTTCCAGTAGTGGGGATGGAACCCAGGGGTGCACTACACCGAGCCACATTGCCAGCCCTTTTAATTTTTTTTTTAATTTGAGTACAGGGTCTTGCTACGTTTCCCAGCCTGGCCTCCAACTTGTGATCCTCTTGCCTCAGCCTTCTGCATCACTGGGATGATAGACGTGAGCCACCATAGCCGACTTTGTTTCCTTTCCTTTTTTCCTATATCACCAGCTCTTTTGTTTCCTCTGTAGCTTCAGTTCTTCCTCCAGTGAGCCCCCTCTCAGTTGAAGACCCTGATCAGGTACCTCCAAATCCCGGCTATGTGGGGGGATACTAAGCAGGACCGGCTGGAGGTGGGCATCAAATTTATAAGAGCACTTTCACTCCTGTTCCTATACTATTCTCTTAAGCATTAAAACACACACACACACACACACACACAATTTTTTTCGAAGTTGTAGGTGCCTTTATTTTATTTATTTTTTTTATGTGGTGCTAAGGATCGAACTCAGTGCCTCACACGTGCTAGTCAAGCACTGTGCCGCTGAGCCGCAGCCCCAGCCCCGAACTTTAAGTTTTAAAAGGCAGTACCTGTGCGTGATTTTAAAAAAGGAAACTTCACAAAATAGTATATGGTGAAACATGAGGCTGTTTCCTGCCAATCCCGAGACCCTGGTCCCCAGAGGCCACAGCTGTGACCAGTCTCCTTCAGAAGTAGCTAAATACAAGTCCTACTGGCTCCCACCGTTTTTAAAAGAAGTGACAAGCCATGGCTCTCCCGAGGTTCACCCTGACACCCTGACACATCTTGGAGACGATCTGCTTGGCCTTTGGAATGGCTGCATGGTGCTCCACCTGGTGGGCGGGCAGCCCTCACGGATTTAAACAGCCCCCCCCAACCCCCCACTACAACCTTGTTTTCATTCTTTCTTTTTTTGTCATCAAGAATGTGGTAATAAATGTCCCCTTTCCCCTCCCTGCCCTTTTCTGCCTTTTTAAAAGTAAACTTTTTATTTGGGAATAGTTTAGGGATAGTACAGAATCCTTGAAAACCCTTCTCACAGCGGCTCCCACTGCTAAGAAACTGACCTTAGTGTATCCCTGTCCGCCAAGCCGGGACTTTGACTTCCCCATTTTCCCACTCAGGGTTTCTCTGTTCCAGAATCCAACTCAGGATTCTGTCAGACCTGCTGACAATCTGTAATCCTGGTACAGCAGAGATGCTTAAGAAAGACACACACGCACACACGCATCCAGTAGAAATGAGCACCGTCTTTACTTTTCTCTCTCCTTCTTTTATACAGCATTGCTAATTAAGACAAAGGACAAGAAGAAACATCCTTTCGTCAGCTCAATCCTTACAGGCATGGATAAACATTCTCAGGAAAACTTTGTTTATGGCCACAGTGCTCCGTATTTCTTATCAATCAACTTGTGGTTAGTTATTCCCAGGCAAACACATACATATATATATAAATTTTACACTTGGCAGAACATTCTTTTCTCTTCTTAAGACAGCAACAAGGACACAGTTCAAAGAGTTCATACTTTCTCACAGCAAAACTTAACACTTTGTGTGCATGAGCCCACAGGATTCTGCCCGACACTAAGCCCATCATTTTATACTCATATAAACATGACTGTAGGAAAACTCCTAGAAGGGAATTGATGGGTCAAGGGTATATGCATTTTTAGGTTCTTTCTCTCTCTCTCTCTCTCTCTCTCTTTCTTTCTTTCTTTCTGTACTAGGGATTGAACCCAGGGGTGCCTAACCATTGAGCCACATTCCCAGCCCTTTTTTACGTTTTGAGACAGGGTCTCACTACATTGCTTAGGGCCTCACTAAGTTGCTGAGGCTGGCCTCGAACTTGTGATCCTCCTGTCTCAGACTCCAGTCACTGGGATGACAGGTGTGCATCCTTACACCCAGCTTGCACCTTTAATTTTGTGAGAGCCTAGAAAACTGTTTTCCAAAACAACTGTACTGACAGGCAGTCCCACCAGCACAGTGTGGGACTGTTTCTTTCTCCGCATCAGTGCCAACTCAGTGTATTCAACTTTTTATTTTGGGGATTTTTTTTTTAATCTTTGCAAAACTACAAGGTAGAAAAAACTAAAGGGACCATACAGCCAAGCATGGTGATATAATGGGCCTGTAGTCCCAGCTACTTGGAGGCTGAGGCAGGAAGATCATTTGAACCCTGGAGTTCAAGGACAGCCTGGGCATAGTGAGACCTACAAAATAAATATAAAATAAAATAACAAAACCCCCAAACATGTTATACACATATAATGGGATATTATGTAGTCATTAAAAGGAATAAAATTCTGATATATGCATATTGCAACCCAAATGAACTTTGAAAACATTATACTGAGAAAAACAACTGACACAAAGAGCAAATATTGTCTGATTTCACTTTTATGAAATAAGTAGAATAGGCAAGTTCATAGGGACAGAAAGGAGACAGATGTTAGTAGGGGCTGGGGGGGAGTAATTGTTTAATGGGAGAGTTAATGGGATAATGGAAATAGAGAGTGATGATGGTTATACAATATTGTGAATGTATAGTTGATGCCAATGAATTATACAAACAATAATGGTTAACACAGGGCTGGGGGTGAGGCTCAGTGGTAGAGCTCTGCCTATCTACCATGTGCATAGCCCTAGGTTCCATTTCCAGCACCACAAAAAACTGGGGGGGGGATAAAGGGTAATATGGTTGATTTTGTATTATGTATATTTTACAATTCAAAACATTTTGGGGGGGTTGGGAATATAGCTCAGTTGGTAGAGTGCTTGCCTCACATGCACAAGGCCCTGGGTTCAATCCCCAGCATCACAAAAAAATAAACAAACAAGAAAAAAAACCCTTTTTTTTTGTTTTGTTTTGCCTTTTTATACCTTTATTTTATTTATTTATTTTCATGTGGTGCTGAGGATCAAACCCAGAGTTTCACACATGCTAGGCAAGCGCTCTGCCACTGAGCCCCAGCCCCAGCCTCCAAAAAACCTTTTTTAAAAAAGATCTGAAATGGGACCTTTTTTTTTTTTTTTCCCTTCCAAAGGATTGTCTAACTAATTGCTTAAAACAAAAAAGTAAGTTTCAGTCCATTCTCCGGGGTTTTCTATATATAAAATTATATGACCAGAAAATAACTAATAGATTGAATCATGTTGGGGATGATCCTACCCAAAATTCTAACCTGAATCCAATAATGAGGAGGCAGCAAACAAATCCAAATGGAGGGGACTTCCAATTTTTTCCATTAGCCTGAATTAATACCTAATGTTGAATTAGGTTAAATTTAGATGAAAAGGCAAACATTTTAAAAATAAAAAAATAAATGTAAATCTAAAAACTACAAATAATGTGAAATTAAGGCCATATCAAATTGTCGACATTTCTGTAACCTCTGACCTATAGAAAGAACACTTTCATATGATTCAACCTACAAATCCTCTTTCTCCTGTGTTCATACCTCTTATTTCTTTGCCTTGTCTAATTGCATTGGCTGGTACCTCCAGAATGATATTAAATACTCGATAGTGGACACCCTCACCTTGGCTCTGATTCTGATGACTTTTTTCCAGAATTCATAACATTTCTCATTTGATCCATAAGTACTAGGGGTTATTTGGTTCTCTATTAAAGTTCCATCTCGCAGGGGGAAGGGCCATAATTGTCAGTTTTTGTTATCAAAACTGACTGGAAAGTCACTTGTTTTGCAAGCAGTATAAAGTGAAGCCTAGAGAGGTCACTCCTGAGTTAGGGCTGGACCTCCAGTTCCCTTGTTTGTGGGATGCAGGTCACATTGTGGGTTAGAGAACTCGGTCAGGTCCTTATTTCACCACGTGACCGAACGGGCTCAGTTTCCCCACCTGTCGACCAGACATCAGGTGGTCCGGTGCCTGGGTCTCCCGGTTCTGAGCGCGGACGGTGTGAACTGGGCATCTCATCCGGCACTGGGCGTCTTCACACCGTCCCCGCTGCGTCCCCACAGTACCTGTCCTCCTGGCCCGGAGCCCCATCCTGCTGGGGAGGGACTCATCCTTCTCGCCGCGGCGGCCGCCGGCAACCCTTGGACGGCCCAGGGCGAGAGCGCGAGCGGGGGCTGGCCCTGGATCGGGACCCTGAGCGGGGTCGGGGGCGCGACCCTCTGCGCTGGGGACCCAACTCGGCTTCCAGAGCGACACTGCCGGGAAGGAGGGGACCGTCAGCACCTGGACCCCGTCCCCAGAGACCCCAGCCTCCGCCCGCTGGGTCGCCCACTTCCCGGGAACTCGATCTTCATCCTCCGGGTCCCCATTCCCTCTCCACTTTCTGCTATTACGGGACTCCTCCCCAGGGACCCCCAACCGCTTCTCTCCACCCCAAATTACCGACCCCCGTCAATACTCCTTTACTTTGCATCCTTCTCTCTCCCTCCTGCCCGGAGCCCCTATTTGGTCCCGACCCCGGGGACCTCCAGAAAGTCAGCTGTGACCCGGGGGCCCCTGGAGAGCCCCCTCCCCGCCCCCTCCCCAGGTTACCACTTCAGGATTCTAACTGGAGTCTCACGAAACCCCGCCCACGTGACCACACCCTTCCCGCCCAAGTCACGCCCAAGGTGCTGATTGGCTGAAAGTACGAAACTCCGCACAGCCATTGGTCTGACACCTCGTCCGTCTGCCCGTCCCCCCAAGGCCCGCCCCTTACTCACACGCGCTCGCGCAGGGCCGCCTCTCGGGCCGCGCAGACTTCGCCTTCAGCTTCGGCCGCGCTTGCGCGCCGCAGCACCTCGTCCAACCGCTGCGCAGACTCCGTGGCCACCGCCTCCCAGCGCGCCAGGGCTTCTGCCGGCACAGCGCGTGCGGTCGGACTGGACGTCCCGAGCCCACCCGCGCCACTCACGCCAAATTTAGTCTGCCTGCCTTCTGTATGCTTTGCTTTATTTGAATTAAATTGCCATTCCCATGGAGTTCACATACCCTTTTATGGGTTGATATCGTTTTTGTGAGTCGTTTACAAGGCGTTTTCATATTTTGTTGCATGGACATTGTTTTGTGACATTTGCATGGGCTCTGCATGCCATTTGCATTCTTTTCATAAGTTTTCGTGTTTATTTGCATGACAGTTGCAGTACTTTTTCATTAATGTATAGCATTTGAGTCTCTAAGAACACGGTAGCTCCTCCCACCTGCAGCCCAGCCCACCCTATTGCGTCCCAACACACCTGTCAGCTCCCCGTTCTCGACCCCCATCTGGGTTCCCTGGGCTTTGGCTTCTTCCATCTCAGTCTTCAGTGTCTTTAGCTGCGTCTGAAGCCGGCTCTGTGGAGTGGAGGGGGACGTGGTGGAGGGGGAGGGGAGAGGGGGAGGGAGTGGTGAATTGGGACAGCCTTTTCTTGGGAGAGTGACACTACATTGTCCACCCGTTGCCTGGGCTTTGTTGGGAATATCCTTTTGGGACCTTGTGGTTGTAAAATAGAAGTGGCCTCTGAAGCTTGGGGGTACTGAATGGTGACAGCTGCCTGCCTGGGGGAAGATTTCTGTCTAGATCTACTGTCCCTCTACCCCCAAGCCACCGGAAAGTTGAAGTGAGACAGGATCCAGTTCCAATCCCAGTTCCATTCAGGACTCACTGAGTTTCAAACCAACCTAAGACAATCCGATGTTAACAATGATTGGGTTTCTGGAGAGCGTGTGGCTTACAGATCACCCCTGCAAAACACACCTGGCCTCCCCAGGGCATCTTCTAGTTGTGAAGGGCAGTCAGAACTCAAAACCCAGGGCAGGCTGCTTCAACAGCAGCTGCTCCAGGCCCTTCTTTGGGGCAGGTAGAAAGGGGGCAGGATTCTTCTGATTTTTAAAGTTCAGATGCTGCCTAACCTCTGCTAGGCAAGTACACAGAGGCAGACAGTAGTCACTCAATAAATGCAAATGATTGGGCTTTGAGGATGGTTCTTCTATGAAGCTCAGGCTGGGGAGGGTTAAGAGTCTGGTGTGTGTGTGTGTGTGTGTGTGTGTGTGTGTGTGTGTGAGGGGGATGCCCCAGAAAAGGGGAGGTTCTGGCTGCTACCTCCCCCAGAAGACAATTTTAGCTTCCTAATTACAGGTGACATGAGTGTCCCTCTCTCAAAATAGGACTGGAAACTGGCTTGAGGCGGGGCTGAGTGAGCACATGGGGGAAGTTAGCATAGGGCCTCCCCAGGTGGGCTCAGGGGTCTGGGGTTTCCCCAGCCATGATTTATCTGGCAAATAACGAGGAAAAGTTTGTCTTATTTAGAAGGTAGACTGCAAGGTGAACTGGAATTATGTGTTGGAATTATGGTGCTATTCTCGTTGCTCTCTAATTGAAAAATCGGGGAAACAGAAGCACAGGGAGGGAGCCTAGGGCTGTGTCCAACACCGTCTCCCTCAGCCTTCCGGATTCCCCAGCCCTCCCCCTGCCCACCTACCTGCCGGTTCTCGCAAGCCCTGAGAGCCTCCTCCAACTCGCGACGGACACTCTCCGCCTGCTCCAACTGCCTGGCCAGGGTCTCCTCGCGCTGGGCGGCCTCTGCCAGCCGGCGCCGCAGCTCCTCGACTTCGGGTGCGGGGTCCTGGGGCGGCGCTGTGGCGTTGAATCCCGGCTCCGGGCAGCGGGGCCCCCGGGCAGCGGAGGCAGCCAGATTCCACGCTACCAGGGCCCCACCGGCCGCCGCCGCCGCCAAAAACACGGCGACCCCGCACAGGGCCAGCACCCGCCACGCGCGCCCGGGCTCCGGCCCCGGTTCGGCCATGCCGCTGTCCCCAGCTCTGGTCCCAGACGGCCACGAGCATTTAATTGGCACCTTGGGGCGCCAGGGACACCCACGGTTCCGCCCCACCCTGTGGCTTCCCGAGTCCTACGGGAGGGGTTGGACCCCCTCCAGGGGTCAACCCATTCTGAAGGTCACAAGAAAGGGCCTGGGTACAAGTCCTGCCTCTGCATCCCACGAGCTCCCCTCTGAGCCTCGGTTTCCCTCTCTATGCAATGGGGACAGCAGTAGCCTCGGGCTCGGTGGGAGTCGGGAGCACATCTGCGGGAAGCTCCAAAGACCGCACCTGCGAAGTAGGGCCATGGGGAGGGTCTGGGGGCTGCTGTCCACATTCTGTCCATGGGAGACGGTAGGTTTCTTGATTAACTGATGGCAGCCCCTTCTGTGAACCGCCTCGAGGGCGGGAAGCGGGACCAGCGCATCTACGCGCGTCTTCTCCACTGGGCCGCTAGGGGGCAATCTTACAACGGGAGTGCGATCCAGGCCTGCTGCTGGCTCTTGAACCCCATCCCTCTTCTCCCTTTTTCTCCACCCCCTCTTCTCTCCTGGCCAGCCCACCTTCCCCTTCTCTTTTCTTGTTCTCCTCTCCCCTTACCTCCATAAGGCCCTTATTTTGTTTTTGACATCGTTTCCTCTTTGCAGCACCTGCTCTCCTTCCTTAAAGCTCCTCTGCCAAAGGCATTCCCCAGGATCTTTGCACTGGCCATTTCCTCCACTACGGAACCCTCTCCTCTCTTTTTGCTTAAATTACTCCTCTTAGATGGTGGCCTCCTCCAGGAACTCTGCTCTTCCACTAGCTCAGGTCCCCTTTTGACCAGCTCCCACCTTTATGTTTCTGATTCCTGGCTGCCTCCCCCATCAGACTGGGTTAGAGCCCCAAAAGCCAAGTGTACATTTGCCTTGTTCCCATCATGCCCACACAGGTCTGGTACATAGTAGGTGCACAATTATTGTGAGTTGAGCATGAATGTCTGTGTGTCCACTTCATTCCAGATGAAGAAACCAGAGCCCAGAGAGGCGGAGCCTCAGGCCAGAGACAGGCAGCAGCAGTTGGGCATAACCTGCAACTCCTAGCTCTCAACCATTTCTCAGCCGCTGGGTGGGGACACCACTTTGGAGTCAGGTCTCAGAGGTAGAGGACAAAATAGTAAGGGTAGAAAAAAAGTGCTGGGGAGAAAAAGTTTATACCTGGATCATTGTGTGGAGGTTTGGGGATCACAGTGCTCATATTGGGCAGATCTGCTCTCTCCATCTGCAAAACACAGCCTAGAAGTGGTGGGGAGGGGGAGCAGCAACTCTGTGTTGGGGCTCTGCAGTGGCCTAAGTTGGGGGTGAGGAGCAGAGAGGGAGTAGGAGAAGGGAAGGGGTCACGCGGGAAGGTTTGTTTCCTGAGCAGAAGAAAAGTCACCAGAAGTGGAGGCTCGTTTCTTTAACAGCGTGGAGACCCCGAGCGAGTCCAGTGAGTTCCCTGGACCCCAGTGTCCTCAGCACAAAGGGGCTGTCGTGGGAGGAGGGGGACAGGCAACAGACCCCCCCTGTCACTGGGATGGAGCATCCTGAGGAGGTCCCCAAAGGGAGGTGGACCTCTGCTCAGGCCATGAGGGTCCTTGATGTCATTGCATAAAGGGGCTGGGGATGTGGCTCAGTGGTAGAGCACTCGCCTGGCATGTGTGAGGCCCTGGGTTAGATTCTCAGCACCACATACAAATAAAGATAGTAAAAAAAAAAAAAAAAAAGAATTTAAGGATGGGTCGAATAAGACAGAGACTGATTTTATGAACTGAAGGCAGGAAGTCCACACTCTCAAGGGACGGCGCTGGAGATGGTGCCTTGGCGTGTGCGGTCTGTAAACACCACCTACGAGGGTGTTGGTGACGTGACATGGTGATCATGACCTACTTGGGTTTCTCCTCCTCCTCTTTCTTCTCCTTTATGAAGAATTTCTACTGATGCGCCGTCTGGGGGTTTCAACACTCCACTGTGTGAATTTAAACAATAGATTTGTGTGACCTTGAGGGTTTTATTGGGAGTGTGATATATGGATGGAGTAATCAGATCCCCAAAATGGAAATTACAGAGAAACCTATTTGTTGAGCAAAAAGCAGTCTTGGACTTGTTTTTCTCTAAGCCAGGTCGAGAGAGAGGTTATCAGAGGACCCGTGGGTAAGGTGGGATAACTGACTTAATAGTTTTGTTTGCGGTCAAGGTATGCGGGAGTGCAATTTAAATCTGGACATTAAATCATGGGAAGTAGAATTTAATAAATGGCTGCTCTCATTTTGTCCCATGTGTTCTTTCTACCTGTCCCTGTGTCCTCTGTCCTGCCTCATACCCTGTAGGGCACAAGTTCTCATTGGAGGTGTTTTTGGCCCCCAGAAGGCACTTGGCAATTTTTTTGTTATTACAACCAGGGGAGGGAATGTGACCACTGTCAGGGATGCTGCTAAATGTCTACGGTGCACAGGATGTCCCCACCACAAAGGATGATCCAGCCCAAAATGTCAGCAGGGCTGAGGCTGAGACCCTGACCCAGACTCAGGAGTGAGCAGTGAGTAATCAGGCAGCAGGCAGAGCATGGGCAAAGGCCCTGAGGCAGAATGGAGCTTGGTGAGGTCCACACACAGAAAAGCTGAGGGAGGGTGGAGGTGGGGGGTGGGGAACGGGGAAGTCAGGGTCCTGATGGCCAGGGCCTCTGCAGTGGGGCTTTGAGGGTGCCTGGGAGAACAGTGGGAGAGGAACTGTGGGACCCAAATACAGTGCAAAAATCTGGGGCATAGGACTTCTGGCTCCATGGACAGGAAACGGCATAAACAATAGTTGGGATTCCAAGGAAACTCGGAGGAAGGGAGAAAATAAAGAGGGAAAGGACTGGGGGTCCTGAGAGGAGCCAATCAGGTGGGTGAACTCCCTCAATTTGGGAGAAGTAGAGTCTCTGGAGAGGGGTTCCCAGAACTGGCCACTGCAGGATGAAGGAGACCCTGGGGATGGAGCGGGAACACTGAGAGAATCCTGGCCTGGATGTGTCTGCAGATTCCCGCGAAGTCCCAACCCAGCGCTTTCTGGGGGAAGCAGGACAAGGGTCAGGGCAGCCATGATTTCCTCATTAGAACCTCAGACATCAGGAGGGACCCAGGGAGGGGAGCTCTAAACACAGTGAGGGTTTTTAAGATGATTCCAGCAGGCAGGGCCGGGTGGCCCACACACGCTGTGAACCCAGTGGCCGGGGAGGCTGCGGCAGGAGGATCGAGAGTTCAAAGCCAGCCTCAGCAATTTAGCGAGGCCCTAAGCAACTCAGTGAGACCCTGTCCCCAAATAAAATACCAAATAGGCTGGGGAAGTGTCTCAGTGGTGAAGCCCCCCTGGGTTAAAAAAAATAATAATAATTCCAGCCGAGAAGGCGGGGGAGGCCCTAGTGGTGTCTGAAGGCATTTGGGAAGGGTGCCCACATCATCCAGGTGTCCACCCTCACCTGCAGGGGAGGACTCAGATGCTTGGGGGTGATACAATGACACTCCAGAAACTTGAGAGTAAGAGGTCTTTCCTCCCAAAAGAGATGTTTATTCTTTGGAGCTCAAAGACCCCCAGAGGAAAGCAACACCCACCCCTAATACAGCAAGAGGCAGCGTCCCCACCCTTCCACCATCCCCGGCCCAAGTAGGGTGGCTTCCAAGGAAGCAGCCCCGCTCCCACCCAGCTGCTTGGCCTCCCCTCCCCCATTGCCCCACGGCCCCTCCACAGCTGCCCCATGGCCCCTTCACTTTTACTCGTCCCCTCTCCCCTCAGTAACCAGCTGGGTCAAGGGACAGTCGCTGGGAAAAGCACAGGTGCAGCCGGACCAGTTCAGATTGGGGCCTAGGAGACATGATAAGAGAGACTCAGGATAGACTGAAGGCAGACAGAACAGAGCCCGCAGCCTCCCTAAACCCCGCCCCTCCCTAAGCCCCGCCCCTCAGGCCCCTCAGGCCCCTCCCCTCGCCCCTGAGTCTCCTCCCTCTCCCCCCCCCCGCAGCTCCTCTCTCCTCCAAGCGGTGAGGCCCGCCCCCCCCCAATCCCTTGGAGTCCCTGCCCCCCTCCCAGCGCCCCCAGCTTCCTCCTCCCCAGGGCCGCCCAGGATCCTGACCTCTGACCTCCTGGGGCCTCAGAGCAGCGGAATGGCGAGGCTCAGGAGCAGGAGCGACATGGAGAGCTGCAGAACGATGGTGGCCTGGGAGCTGGCCGGGATGGTCTGGGTGTTTTCCGTTCTAGGTGACGATGGGGGACTCAGGCAGCCGCTGGGCCATCATCTTGCATGACAGCCCTGGCCACCCTCCCCACCGAGCCTCGTCCCCACCCCAGTCACTGGGCAGTAGCCACCTAGGGCTCTTGGACCCTACGGACAGAGTCTTCCTTTTCGAGGACTTGAACCTTACCCCCACCCCCCACCTCAGAGGCAATGTGGATTTTTGGAGCTAAGCGGGTGGGGGCGGGGGTTGGAAGTGGGAGAAGCATGGCCCAGGGCGGGGCGGGGGTCTTTGACCTTGGTCGCTCCAGTTTTTTCAAAGTCTCCTGCAGCCCTTGGTTCAATTCGGTGACATTTCCTGGGGGACCAGATAGAATGAGGGGGCATCAGCACGTGACCGTGCCCCTCACCCACCAGGCGCTTGGGCACAACCCCGCCCCTTCTCCAGCCCGGTCCTAGACGTCCTGCCCCACCCCTCAAAGTCCCCTGTCCCCTTCTCACTCTCAAGTTCCTGCACTCGCGCCTGTAGCTGCAGCTCCTGGGCCTTCAGTTTCACCTGGGACAGAACAGAGGGTCAGAAACCGGTTCTGAGCCGGGCGCCTGGCCGCACGCCTGTCATCCCAGCGGCTCAGGAGGCTGAGGTAGGAGGATCCTGAGTTCAAAGCCAGCCTCAGCGACTTAGTGAGGCTCTAAGCAACTCAGTGAGACCCTGTCTCTAGATAAAATACAAAAAAAGGGCTGGGGACATGGCTCAGTGGTGAAG